TGAACACCTCAGTTATAAAAATGATACAAAACCCGGACCTACAGTACACCTAGCAGTATTATCCTGATTTTCAGAATAATCTCTAGGTATTGTTCCAGTAGTGGGTCACTGGCTCAAACAACTTATTGATTACAGATTTAATAATGTGTAAGTGAAACTCAGTCTTCAGTTGATCAAGTACATTTAGTCCTATTCAGCAGATGAGTTTCGATTTCTTCAAACCATCCTGTGAACTATTTTTTCTGAATGAATACAGTAATTCCAACCAACTGCGAAAACGACATCATTCAAGCAGAATAAAAATTCCATGGAAGATACTTGTCCACTGCCAACTAGGTGGTGACTGCTTGACGAATCCGACCTAGTGATGTAAAAGATAACTGAACGGATGTTGGTTGACAGAATGAGTGACCAGTTCAACGTATTACTCAGTAAAATAAAATGCTCAATGACTGACAAATTTTGTGCCTTGAACTAACCAATTACTTTAAAACTCATTTGAACCTAATTTCAAACGATTACTTACTTTATCAACTACCTGTTAAAATAAATAACAATAATTAAGAGAGAAAAAGCCCCACGTTATGGTATGTACTGAACACTAACTGGTTCTGTTTGTTGTGTACTTTGACAGACAGGGGAAACGCATGCATGATTAGGAACTATTCTCTCATCCACTGAACCCAGTATACTTAGTCTTTTGTTAAACCCGATAACTCCAAATTCTTCCTCCTTCATGCAGGTATTATAAGAAACATGCTGAGCACATAAACGGTGATTTTCTACTGATAGGCACTGGTATTTAATGTGTGGATGTACTACCGAACTCCTCTCTGAATTTACAAAAAAACTGATTCAATAGTCAACTGCTTCTATGAAATTTAAGTTTTGTGAATATTAAATTTCCTGATGTAAGAAACGCCTACGTTGTTTGAATTCCTTCCACAAAAATTCTTGAAAGTTTAAAGTAATCAAATCAAACAAGTCCGACTAATAATATAAAAAATATGTATCAATATAGGCTTGTCTATCATTTAGGAAAATAGTAGCGAAATGAGAATGACTTTTATGTATGGTTTTAAAATTTCATTTCCGACTCAATGAGGCGATTATCTTACGTGTTATCTTTGCAACGGCCCACTTCTTCTTTTAAAAAAATCTGTGTCGACTCAATAAACTACCACAAAGATGATAAAACTACGTAACCCAAAGTATGTACCACTATTAAAAACAGTGCTGTTCAATAATTCACCTCAAGCACAAAAGACAAACAACCAAACACAGCGAGGATAAAAGGTTGACTTAAGAGATTTTACTACTTTTCTTTATCTTCAGAAGTGGGTTATCGCTCTAAAATATATTCAATGAAGAAACGCAAGCGTATTGATTAGCCTTTACGCATTTTCATGAAGCGTAAGCATCGCGCGATCTGTTGCACAATTATTTGAAGTAAAAAGCTTTAACCTACTAGTGAGTAGTTAATGAAAATACATGAAATAAATTTTGGGAAGAATCGCCAAAAATCTAGAATTTGAGATAAACGTGTATCGTAAATGGACACCCAGAGATATTTATAGGTAAAAAAAACTTCATCAGAATGCAACCCATTACCATTTTATCACTGTGGAGAAAGAAAAATTTAATTTACAGCTTGGAATTCAATGCAAACGCAGCAGATGAAGTGGTCAGGCGCAGACTAATGAAGACTGTCAAAAGAATAAACGGTGCAGTCACTCTGTTTATCACCCGTACTAGTCGCTCTATGGAAAAACTTTCGCTTCTAGCAGCTCCAATGATCATATATCAATCCACTTGCTCCTGTGGAGCTACGCAAATAGGCCGTACGATGATGCAGATTGCATAATGTAGACGCCGACAACTTGCAGTATGGGTCAACAAAGGTCAATGCAGACCGATCAATAGTCCCATGTTACAACGTTTGGTAGTAGCGGACACAGATCCAGGAGATTCATTCGCTGTAACCTACAAAATCTGACGTAACCTACTGGAAGATTATAAAAGACGTTTACCTTGCACTGCTGAAGCTTTGGCAAAACAGCGATCGAGACAGAAACTGTCCACAAGCGATTTTACAATTCATTGTCTTTAATAAATCCCTAATTCTGAAATTTTCTAGTTCGTAAGCCTAACTAATCTTTTATTGTTCATACTATTATTACGTAAACGGCTTTCATTTACCTGTCACAGATTTCTCATTCACTTGCTCACTGAAAACAGTCTACTTTGTTACAAAATTCTTTGCTTCTTGATTTCAACCCACATCCACTCACTGAGTCAAATACTTCCGTATCGCTAAAATAATTCCTATCCCTATATTTTTTTAATGGTCACAAGCTAAAAGCAGTTACAAATCGACAAATATATTTACATTGATTACATTTCAATGCGATTGTACAGCTGGGAGAGATAATGTATAGCCAAAAACAAATTTTTGCTCTGGTCTTTACTCTCTATGGGAATATTTAAAAGCTTCAACAGCTGGTTTGTAAGAAATTATTGATTTGCAAGTAGTTTACACCACAGATTTTCAGGCGTTAAAAAACCAATAAACACCCGGAAGCCATGGAAAGATGCTCTGTCTCAGTGTGAGAATGTGGTTCAGGCGGAAAGAGTAAAGGGTGGCTTCATAATATTGTTCTTAATCACTGTTACATCCACCATTGAAAGTGGGTGAAAAAACTGTCTTATGAGGTCTTTAATGAACACTGATCAGAAGTCTAAAATCATAATGAATCAGATGACCAGTGCACAAAGGGCATAAATGTTCCTACCGAAGATCTGAGATGAACATACATTACTTAAAGTTATTTAAGTGTGAAATGTAGACATTTAAAAATAATAATAATGAATATAGGACCAAATATTACTGTTAAATTGCCTTTAGTTATTTAATTTAGCACATCTTTTGGTTTGATGGCTTACTATGCATGTCACTCCGTTACCTTAGTTTTCCAATCTAGTTCCTCCGTGATGTGGAAACTGACAGTCGAACCGCTTATGAGGTGCTTCAAATATATATTTTGCAAATGCAGCGAAATCTAATGAGTCAGATCTCCAATCAAAACGTCACAAAAGCTCATGCACCAATCTATCGCTTTTCCGAATATTTTCGTTTTAGTACTTGTGTATGTCCCCAAACTAAGTCATGTTCAGAAAGCAAGCACGGTCAGTAACATCTAAGCGCTCCTACCTCAGGTTCGCACCATTCGAAACATCCTGTAACACAGGCATACTAACCGTCGAACGACCGATACTTGCCACATTTCTTCACCTGAAGGCAACATTCTACTCTATCGACAATGAGATGTTGTGACAGTATCCGACCATGGAGAGAGTACCAAGCAAGTATACAGTGCTAGTCAAGGCTCTCTACTGGAATTCACACAGCCGTGTCACGGTTTATAGAGAATTGTAATGTAAATTGACGACAACTAGTGGTGTCCACCAGAAATGCCCACTGTCACCGTTCCCGATTAACTTCGTCTTAAATGTACTAATGGACATAACCTTAGATACTTCTGACTTCACAGGGATTGACCTACTACCTAGAGGGCATCTGGTTAATTTGGAAGTATGCAGGCGATATTGTTCTGCTGGGTTAAGATGGTGAGAAAATGCAGGATCTTGTGAAGGTGCTGAGTAGAAATCTGAGTGTGTTTAGCATGCGTTTCGCTGGCACCTGTCAAATGTAAGATTATGCTTCAGGACTGTTCTGCTCCAACTACTCCCAATTTAATGATAGGAAGTGAAGTGGTGGAATATGTCGACCACTTCACTCACTTAAAGAGTGAACAGGCTAATTTCTGGTAAAATCTCAGCTCGAATACAGAAGACCCATTTGGCATTTGCCAACTTGGGTCGTCTGTGGTGCCGACTGGCGAGATATCTGATAGTCTATCAAAGGAAGAGCGTATTTTGCTGTCCTTTTTATACGGTTGTGAGACATGGCAGTTAAAAGTAGGTTTTCAATCACAGATGTTTTCGTGGTATCGCTCTCGTTTGGTGGGATCACTGTGCGAGCAACGTTGAGGCCAGGTGAAGGGTAGTAGGCAAGACAGGCAAGTCGATTGGTGAAGTTATGAAGCTTCACCAACTGAGATGGCTCGGAGATGTACTACGCATACCGATCCATCGCCTACTTTAACTTGCAATGCCCAGGGAAGTTGGATTAGGTAGGAAGAAGGTTTAAGGTGGCCAGATCAGGACCAAACACCTGTATAACCCGTATTTTAACTACATACGTGAAGCATATTGAATATACACCTATGTAAGTTGAAATTGCAGTGTCATCAGCCCAAATCCAACTCTCCTGTCATCAAATAAGCTACTTCGCAACGCTATATGTCCACGATCTTACATTTCAAAAACGGTGAAGTCCCAGATTTTCTTTAAGTATTCGATTGTTAAGAATGATAATGAAGTAGCAAAAAAGTTATCTTAGAATTTCATTCTATCGACAAGTTGTCCTGCTTATGACAGAAGCTGTATACCTCGTTTCAAATCACTAGTTTGTAGATATCGGATTAAAAACTAGTGGACGGAAGTCAACAACTATGATTAGTCTAAACAGGAAATAGATGGCACATTTTGACGAGGTCACCTCTACGGTGATGACTAAACTTTTTAGCATATTATACATACGATATGAGGTTAGAAACTAATCTCTCTATCCTAAAACTTCCCTATTAGCTCGACGACCACCTAAAGGAAACTGGAGATATCAGGGGCTATGACTAAAAAACTAAACCTACCTACCTACCACAATAACACCCTTATTAAAAATAAGACATTAATCATAGCACGTAGTATGCTAACGAACATGAAAGAGTGGTAAAAAGACCAACTGAACGGGTAGTCAACCAATACGATGAGCTTACCAACCAATAACTGTGGCGCATTTTCAATATTCGGTAAGAAACTGTTTCTTATATAAGGTGACCATGAAACACGCAGATCAAAAGCACACAAGAATAAGGTGAGAAAAGGCGTTATCACTAAAATTATGCTGCAAAATACATAAAATTACGACGAAACTGATACTAGAAGCAAGTCAGTGTAATCTCCATTAACTATATACCATTTATAATACAGGTTTTATTATTTTGAGCCAAAAAGTGTAATTACAATAGAAAACAGAAATAATGTATGTTATCAGCCGCAAAAGTATAAATAATAACGGGCTTAAAGACAACTCGGTGGGAATATTAGATACATATATATTGAAAAAAACAGGTTAGTTAACTCCGACTTCTACGTCGTTCGCGTTCTTGTCGTTCTCTAGCACGTTTCAAATCACGTTCAAATGAACTCTCCCGTTCATTTGGGGTTCTAGAACGCCGACGTTCGCGTGACTTAGATCTGCGTGAATGATGTCTGTGTTTCTCACGATCAGATCTGAAAATAAGAAATTCACCACATAGAATAAACCAATATGTAGTTATGAAAAAAAAACTGTAAACAGTCATGCTTAGAAGCGAAAAATACAGGTTATGTCCATCTTACCAACCGTAATAAACGTTGATTTATCACTTGGTCTGAAAAACTGAAGAATCGATTATTGGAAAACAATACATTTACGTTTCATGCTCCTTGTTACCCATGAGAATATATCTGCAACCCCGAAGAAATTGCCTCATCAGAAAACGAAAACTTAGTCGCTCAGAGGTAGACAGACATAAAAACGTAGAACATAGTACAGAAGTGCCACACTTGACAGCGGTATGCAAAGAAAGGGTGAATAAAAAATGTATGACTTTAGATTATCCAATATTCAATACAGTGCACTACGGCGTCAAATGAATTAATGATTATGCTTTAAAACTGATCAATAAAATTTGGTCGGCGCAAAGCACTAGATATCATGGAATCCACCACTTTTTGACGAATGATCAACAAATAAACAAAATATATACGATATAATAGGGTAAGTATGCTAAAAATGAAGTCTGCCTCACTAGGCCTGACTGTTGAAACGCACTTACTAAGCGTCAGACAGCATAAGGTGATAGGTTTTCTGTCCAACGTGCTTACATTACATTGTGGAGCTGCGACTCATTGGTTTAGGTAGTTGACTTTCAACCGGTGGGTCACGGGTTCGAACACCGTTCCACCTGGATGAGGTTTAGGCAGTCAGATAGGATCATTAAGCCCTCACACATTAGGTGTGGTTGATTTCTGACTACACGAATGTGTACAAGTTTACTGATTGCACTTCGGTATTACACAACGAAGTGAGTGAAATTAGGGTTCGCCTTGCAGCTATCGACTATAGAAATCAACTGTTATAATCTGCACCGACCTAAGTTGTAAGGATTGAAATTAAGAAATCCAACCTACTAATGTGCACTAATAAAATAGTACTAACGTTACAAAGTCAAACGGAGGTAGACAAAAGAGTGGGGCTAACCTAAAAAAAAGGACAACAAATTACACAGTGTTAACTATCTAACTGATATATCTGTACCATTTCAAGATCCAAATGTTGAAGACCAGTGGTGTTTCAATATCGATTGACTTGCCTCACATTGAAAATCCTGAACACCTCTGTTCTTTTCTTCGAATAATTGTTTGATTTACTAAATCACTTTCCTACTTCGGTTGACGTTGTTTCTGCAGATGCGAAATGTGACATTTTTGATCCAATCCACTTTCAGAGAGACAGGTAAAAAGATTTACATAGAACCTCACAAATAGGGTATCAGTATGATATACCCCTAAAAAGACTGCATCTAACTACTATTTCCTGCGGTCTCGTAGGTAAAGGGTGAAGCAGCAATGTAAAATCCAATAAGTGGACCTGTCACCAAGATCGTGGGTGACAATAACTTAAGTCCTGTTCAACTGAACGTTCTAACAAGAAACCAAAAGGTCATGAGTCCCACTCATGACATAACCATTTGCCCATGAAGAACTGCACAATTCGTTGTCCGTGACGGTATGTAAATTCTCACTAAACTTCCAATGATTGCAGCACGGATGAATTACACAATTAATTCTACTGAAAACTAGTCTCTACAAAGAGCGAACAGTAAAGTTCATGTAGTTCACAAACTCGAAGATCATGCACAGATACTAAGTAGAGATAAAGCAAAAAATAAGTGATGTCTTATTACCAATAATTTCTAAGTAACCTAACCCAAAACGGTCAACTGACCAATAAAGTCCGCATGGGATCTAAAAAAGAGCAACAGTCTATGTTTCTAGATCTCATATCAGCGTAACATAAAAGACCATAAAGATTTTTTTATGCATATGTATGTTCACGCCAAAGCGAATCAGCCACTCATTTATACTGTCTGAGAGCTAAAGATACGACCTGACTGTCTATAACTCCATAGATTTAGTGATAAATCCATGATCCATGAAATGAATGTTATGTGACTGACAGAACCATTCCAGAACCTCGCACACAGGTGTATCGGTCAAAATTGCCACACTTCACAGCAGTTTACAAAGAACAAGTGGATAGGAAAGACTGATAACAAAGAAGATAAAGTTGTGTGATGGAATGAACAATTTAAAGACAAAGGTCAGTTTGAATACTCAAATATTTGGAGACGTTAAAGAGTGAGTGTATCTGCGACACTGTGATCGATTTTCACCCATGTCAACCAAGAGTCCTTAGCCACTGATTCCTATCCTCTCGGGGACTTTAGTCAGAAAGTCTACATCCTCTTAAACGACTCATACCAACAATCAGAGACTTCATCGACAGGTGTTAGCTCCTGGTCTGGCCACCTTAAACCTTCTTCCTACCTAATCCAACTTCCCTGGGCATTGCAAGTTAAAGTAGGCGATGGATCGGTATGCGTAGTACATCTCCGAGCCATCTCAGTTGGTGAAGCTTCATAACTTCACCAATCGACTTGCCTGTCTTGCCTACTACCCTTCACCTGGCCTCAACGTTGCTCGCACAGTGATCCCACCAAACGAGAGCGATACCACGAAAACATCTGTGATTGAAAACCTACTTTTAACTGCCATGTCTCACAACCGTATAAAAAGGACAGCAAAATACGCTCTTCCTTTGATAGACTATCAGATATCTCGCCAGTCGGCACCACAGACGACCCAAGTTGGCAAATGCCAAATGGGTCTTCTGTATTCGAGCTGAGATTTTACCAGAAATTAGCCTGTTCACTCTTTAAGTGAGTGAAGTGGTCGACATATTCCACCACTTCACTTCCTATCATTAAATTGGGAGTAGTTGGAGCAGAACAGTCCTGAAGCATAATCTTACATTTGACAGGTGCCAGCGAAACGCATGCTAAACACACTCAGATTTCTACTCAGCACCTTCACAAGATCCTGCATTTTCTCACCATCTTAACCCAGCAGAACAATATCGCCTGCATACTTCCAAATTAACCAGATGCCCTCTAGGTAGTAGGTCAATCCCTGTGAAGTCAGAAGTATCTAAGGTTATGTCCATTAGTACATTTAAGACGAAGTTAATCGGGAACGGTGACAGTGGGCATTTCTGGTGGACACCACTAGTTGTCGTCAATTCACATTACAATTCTCTATAAACCGTGACACGGCTGTGTGAATTCCAGTAGAGAGCCTTGACTAGCACTGTATACTTGCTTGGTACTCCCTTCATGGTCAGACACTGTCACAACATCTCATTGTCGATAGAGTAGAATGCTGCCTTCAGGTGAAGAAATGTGGCAAGTATCGGTCGTTGGACTGTTAGTTTGCCTGTTTCAGAACCTGACGAAGAGTGAAAATATGACCGATGCACTCTCGTCTAGGTCTGAAACTTACCTGGTTGTCTTGAGTTTGGTGTTATCAAGCTCCAGTTAGTCGTCGGATAACTTTGAATACAATGAGTCAAAGTAATTCTCCTACGGTAGTCACAAGAATTCTCTCCTTTCTTTTAGAATAGGATGATCAGTGAAGTACACCAGTCTGACGGCACTCTCTCTGATTCCCATGAGTCACCTACTACCTCCGTCACTCTAACCAGTAACTTCCCACCTCTATCCTTAAAAATGTTGGGTAGTTAACTGCCAGATACTGTTGCTTTGCGTCGTTTCAGGTTTGATACAGTCTTCCTGACTCTAAAGAGAGTTGGAGAACCGACATCTACGTCACATTCAGGTTCGGGTTGGATGTTGGGCAACTAAAGCATTGCTGTGGGCCAATCGAACTGTGCTTTAAATCGTTGTTCAACGTTCCAGCTGCCTGTCCTAGGCAGTTAACAGCGTCCCATCGTTTTCAGTGATTGTTTCACTCAACATCGTCTTGTTAGTGTCCTTAATAAATCTAAATAGTTGCCGAGTGCTATCCACCAGTGATGCCTTCTCTATCTGTTTCGCTTTCGTCACCCACCACAGCTCGCAGCTGACGCATAGACTCTTGGCCAATTTACGTTTAAGTTGGTGTCGCCCTTTATCGTGGTCAAAGCCAACTGGAATCAGTCCTTTCACATCAATCAGTTCCGATGACGTCGCGGAAATTCATTGACGTTCGCTAATCTACATGTGCAGGTTATCAACTGTCTGCTGCAGTTCTTAAAGCAGACTTAATAACACGCCAGGTTTCCTCAGGATGAACATTGCTCTCTCGTTCAGATAAATGCTTAACTAACTCCTCCCTAAATACATTCCTGGAGTCCTCACCTTCCAGTCGAGTATAGACAGACTTTAACTATCGCTTGTTTCCTGCAACCAGCAAAGCGTATACGCGAGCCTACACTAGCGCAGGACCAGGGACCAAGCTGCTGCTCCAGAAATAGTAGCGATCCTCTCCAACGATGGCTTATAGCGATATAATCTATGTTCATCGTTGGTTTCTGTGTTGGTGGACGTCGTGTGAAACAGCGTCTCTCGTTATGCTTGAAGTTAGCGCTGGCCAGAAACGAGTGATTGTCGAGACAAAATTGCAACAAATGATCACCGTTGTCGGTTCCTTGGCATGAAATTCTGTAAATACCCCAGGATGCCTTTCCGGGTGGCTCAGATCAGCTTCCCTACTTGAACCCGACCGACAGCTGCTACCTTGACGTGGTGGTCGGGCTTGCATATCACAATGACCCAACGAGCTATGCTGGTGGAACGCTTGTTCCCTCGAGGTCCTACCATACCAGAAAGGTCTGTTGGGTAGTGGTTAGACGAAAAGCAGTTACCGTTATAGTGTAAATTGCTACACTATGATGGGGGTCTGAGGGCGAAGTCGTACTGCTGCTAGCTGGATGGGGTGTGACAGCAGTAAGGTGTTTCCCTTGGATGACCAGCAGTGCCAAGCTGATGCTGCCTTCTCAGTGGAAGGGGGGGTTAGAAAAGGTCGGCCCCAAAAATAACACACTCCACCACGCCCCACGGTCTGCCGGGCCGGCGGTGTTGGTTCACTTGTCGTTTCCTTTCGACCATCCGGCCCCAAAAAAACAAAATTCAAAATAATCATACTCAAAAGGCTGGGTGTGACAGGCCTCAAGCAGATGTCCGATGGGCTCTGCGGTCACACAAATCTCTTTCAGGTACCTTAAGAAGAAATAGCCTTCCACGGTGTGGGCAGCCGGGAAGTGTCAACCGCCCTCACAACTCTGTCAGCACCCAAGTTTCTTCTGACTGCTATCCTCCTCCTCCATCATTACCTTCTAATCTTCCTTCACGTCTCTTAATTAATGATGCTGCATCATCTTCAATTTCTCCTACCTCTGCAGCCTTCGACAACGATCTGAGTCCACAGAACAGCATCCCTGGTCTCCTTAAACCACGCTCCAAATTACATATTGGAGCCTTCAATGTCCGCACCCTCCGTCAAATTGGCCAACAGGCTTCGTTGGCAAAGACTCTAGCAACTCGGGCATGGATGTGTGCTGTGTTTGTGAGACACGCATACAGGACCCAAGTGTGGTTATTCACCTGACCTCTCCTGACCAATCTGGTGAATCTGCAAAATTCACCCTTCGAGTTTCTGGAGATTCGATAGCTAGCTCTCGTGGTCTTGCAGGTGTAGGTATAGCATTAAGCACCAGGGCAGAAAACTCACTACTAGACTGGATCCCAGTTGATAGTCGCCTCTGCGCTATGAGGCTGAACGGCACAGTGAGAACTAAAAGGAATAGTGAGACTCGCCGTTGTCTCTTTGTAATCTCTGCTTACGCACCCACTGACTGTAGTTCGGATGAAGTGAAGGACGAGTTCTACCATAAACTGTCTAACCTCCTCTCGAAAGCCAAACGTTCGGACGTAGTGGTTGTTGCAGGTGACCTCAACGCACAGGTGGGTAGACTGAGTGAGGCAGAAAGGCACTTAGGTGGCACTTTCGGAATCCCAGCTGAACGTACAGATAACGGTGATCGCCTATTACAACTATGCTCAGATAACCGCCTATTTTTAGCCAGCACAAATTTCAGACATAAAGAAAGGCACTGTCTGACCTGGCGTCCACCGAGCTCGACTCAGCGATGGACACAGATAGACCACATTGCTATTAGTCATCGCTGGAGAGGATCGGTGGAAGACTGCCGCTCCTTCTGGAGTACGTGTTTGGACAGCGATCATGCGTTGGTCCGAGCACGTATATGCCTGCGTCTCAATGGACGTAGAAAAAATTTGGCAACAAAACCACTACGAGTTCTGCTGGACAACGAAAACACCAAAGCCGTGTTCAGTGAGAAGTTGGCTAGGCAGTTATCGGAACAAAAGACTGTCACTCATCCAGAAGAAGCTTGGTGCCATCTTCAGTCTACTGTAAAAGCAGCACTGGAGACTGTAGCCGACTCCAAGATAATGGCTAAAAAGAGCCAGTGGATATCAGCAGCTTCTTCCAAACTAATGGATGCACGTGAATGCATCCCTGCAGGCTCTGAGTACAATGAAGAGCGAGCGCAACTTAAAAATAAACTGACGAAAAGTCTGCGCAACGATCGTGAACAGTGGTGGGCAGCAAAGGCTAAAGAGATGGAAAAGGCAGCGGCGATCGGTAACAGTAGACAGTTATTTAGACTTATTAAGGACACTGAAATCTCTTACATGAAATCGATAGTGGGAACTTAGAAGACTAGGAATGAGGTTTTGGTGGCTTCGATCGTTAGTAGTGATCGACGAGTGAGAGGTCCGGGAAAGTGTAAGAGGCTTAATATTAGTATAAGAAGGTGAGGATCAAAGAGGAGACAGTTGAGAAAGATACGTTATATTTAGCTGTCATATGTACTACTGGAAGTGTGTGGATGGTTGACACTTTCCGATTGCCTACCCTGTAGAAGGCCAGTCCTTCTTGAGGTATTTGAAAAAATGGGATAGTGTGACCGCAGACTTCAAGGGACATCTGCTTGAGGTTTGTCACACACAACCCTTGGCAAATTGTTGTTGTTGTTTTCAGATTTGGTTGTTCTAACGTTGGACAGAGAAAATCCATATCGCCGAATTATTAGTAAAACTAGGGCGGAAATGTCAGTCTTTAAGAAAGGTGAGAAGTCCTTTCGTGATAACCAGAAAGATATCAGCCTGACAGTGTCTAAGATCCTGAGTTATAGTCACTAGACGTTTGTGTGTAACTCGGGGATAGCAAATTCGAGAAAACCATGCAACTTTGAAACCCAGCAAATAAGGGGTATCGACCAGGTAATCACACTCCACCAGGTTCTGGAACATAGGCAGTGTCGCCAGACAATGGCTGCCCTTTTAGACCTGAAGGTAGCATTCAACTTGTCAACCGAGAGGCTTTATCGTAGTGTTTCGCACAGCAACTCCGTTGAATGCTCTGTTAATGCTCGTGTTAAAGCCTATGGTATTATGTGCCGACTGGTGTCCGTTAAGCATGTCTACTCTGCATTCTTATTCAACTTCAGCGCAGATATCATCTAACTTCTCAGGGACTGACATCACAGGAGAATTCTTGGTAGATCTAGAATACGCAGATGACATAGTCCTGTTACGCGAAAACCGCGACAAAATGCAGTCTCCTGAACATTTCCAGTGGCAACTTGAGGATGTTTGCGGTGCATTTCTCATAGTCGAAACGTAAATTGTTGCTCCCGAACTGATCTTTAGTGGTGCCCTACTTAACAATATGGAGTGAAATGATTGTGTTGAGCACTTCATTTACCTGGAAAGTCAGACCAGGCCTTGGTGGCTTAGTGGCCGATGAAATCTGTTTACGGATACAAAAGGATCGCTTGGTTTTCACCAACTTCAACATTTCTGGCGTCACCGTTATATCCGATCGTCTATTAAGAGTCGAGTACACTGCTCTTCAGTTGGCTCTGTTCTACTATATGGCTGTGAAACATGATCGTTAAACGTACAGAATATGAGGCTTCAGGTATTTGACTACCGTTACCTTCGTAGTATAGGCTGTGTTGTGGTGTCTCCATGTTATGAATGTAGAAGTCAGGTGTGGAGATTCAGTGAAGAGAAAAGTTGGTTGATGAGGTTGTTAACCCTCACTGACTCAGGTGGCTGGGGCACGTCTTACGCATGCCTAGTCGCCACCTACCTCATCGGGTAATCTTGAATGAGGTAGGGTGAAGCTGGAAAAAGGCTAGGAGTGGTCAGACTACATTTAAAGATTAAATTTAGTGAAAATACTCAAGCTTTAGAATACATCGAAGAATGTATACATCTGAGCTGTGTAGGGAAATCTAAACTCCCTGGTTGGGGGACGCGTGACAAAAGAAACCAGCGGCTGGAGACTAGGTGACATGGTTCAAAATCTATCTGTGGCACAGGTGTCCATACAATATTCTCCCTCTCACTCTGTTTTTACTGCTCTCCACTGCATTTGATTGGCTCTTCTTTATCTCCATCGTTTACCTTAGTTTTTTCTCGCTTGATATGGGGTGTGGAAACTTGGAGTCATGCAGTAATTCCTGGTCTTAAGATGGAATGAACTACGAAAACTTAAGGTTTCCACTAATAACCCAGTCTCCATAAAATCAAAATACAACTCATATACCGCCTACAATTTCGTGCAGTAGGCAGTGAGCTACAAATGGGTGAAGGCAAATTACACTACTTGGCTCTCGAGATCTCAGCAGACAAATTGGAGTCCAAACTTGTAACCCGCTGGTTGAATGTTAAGTGCGCAAATCCATGGGCAAGAGCTAGAAGAAAACCTACCAGCTACAGTGAGGCAGAGCTTCTAAACGAATGAATAAATGGCACACATTGATGGTTAGGAGTAATATGACCAAGACGTCTCCGTCACTAACAGCAGTTTTCATTGTTTACTATCTTCAAAATTACTCAAGAATGAAGTGTTTGCAATCACATGTCGGTTACGTATACGATTGCACACATTTGGATGAAATGAGCTGTAAGGATGATACTTTCCATACTGAATAAGCGAAGCGTTAAAAATCTCTTAACTAGCGTACCCCTACGTTAGTTTAGTGCCACGATGTCAAATAAGTGCTGGCTGATTCACTAACATGATACGCCATTAATAACACAAATGCGTTAACAGAGTAAGAAGTAAGCAGTGGAGACTTCAAAGCTAACATCGGCAACGAAGTACAACATGTGATATTACCAATTCCCTACAATGGAAAGAACCACCTATCTTTCCGCTTTATTGTAAAGTAGGATTTTAAATGTGCGTTGTTAACTGTTTGGACTTTTGTAGAGTTCATTCTCTTCAAAACGTATTTACATGACCTGACATCCGGGTCTTAAAACTACTATTTAGTCTTCAGTCCTGCCGTTGTGGGCTATTAAGATTCTCAACGTGCAGCATCAACATCTAAACAACATTAGTTGGATGAGTCCTAACAGCACTGAACTGACATCAGTCTAGTAACCCTAATTTCTAATGGGTGGGAGGTACACTAATAAACAACTACCTCGGAGTCTTGATACTTTAAAACCGTACAACTAAGTAGTATTTTAAGGACTTAAGTGATAAGTAACCGTAAAAACTACTGGTACAAATTGGCTACCCAAACGTTAGTAGGTGAAATAGATTCAAGAGCCTGCAATATATTAGTTGAAAGCGGTGTCTACACCCATACTTTTATCAATTGAGAAATGACTCTCTGCTGAGTGGATGACAAACCTGGATAACTACCAGTGAAGCAAAAGTGACTTACTTGTGCTTTTCATGCCGATGAGATTGTCCACCATATTTGTGATGCGAACCATCACGACTCCGATCGTAATGCTTCTTAGTTTCACTTTCTTGGGCGGAGCTAACTTCCAAGAGAACCTGGCATCTGCGGAGGCGCATTTTCTCTTCTAATTTCTTTTGGACAGGGACTGGAATGCGCGGGAATAGAGTAGAGAACCAATCAAGCTTGGTCAACCAGTGCTCCAACATGTGGCCTATCGTCATAACACAGCCGCCACCAGCTTTTACATCCAGTTCCTGAAAGACAAAAACTTGCATGAAATCCAAGACAAGGACATATAAGGTTCATATATTGAGGTTCTTACAAGTAATAGGCTAGACGACTGACCCCAAAATACCGTCAACCCGTGTGAATCAGGAAGTGCTACGGAACTGGTAACTTATCGAGTCTTTGTACTTACCTCGGGGTCACCCCAGTAAGGTGCGTACCACCACCAAAAATCCTCAGGAGGGATACAGTACCTATAATCTAGTTAGCTCAGGTTACATTAAACACACCTAATATACATAAAGCCAAGCGCTCGAATGTATGGAGAATCAGGATGGTCCAGAAGACCCTTGAGCTGCTTTCTTGTTAGTTTCAATGTGAAAAGTTTATAAAGTAGACAGTAAGCCGTTGACACGATACCACCAGCCCCCACTCCACGAACGCCTCCACACATTCCAGTCTGGCCACCTACCCGCCTACTTCCACGCTCCCATGGCTCCAAATGTTCGACCTATAAGGAAAGATATGAGATAAATACACAAAAAGCACCTTGTAATATATTTCATCAATAACCTCATGGTATGTTTTAAGCTCTACCAGGTTAGATTTGAAGTATGGGGACTGAACTATGTTTGTGTAAATCATTGTATTAAGATTCATTGTTTGTTGGTTTCCCCAGAGTTTCAAAATATTGCCACGAGGTGCCTGTTCATCTTCATCCACTACTGTACTGGGAAGTCCCATTTGGGCAAAACTAGCTGCCATCTTGCCTGTGATGGACTAGTGTTGGGTCCGTATTAGCCTCTATGACAACCACGTTAGTGCTAACGAAGACCAATTATTAAATGCGTGGACGAAATAACAGTGGTCCTGAGCGTGACAATCCCCAAAATGAATGGCGTCCCAACCGCGCCAGTTCAAACCCGTAGCCTTCGAAACAACCGCTGAGAACCAGGTTTACAGTGTTCAATTTCCTATACCAATGTTTTCAAATGGTTATGCAGTGAACAGAAGCTTCGCCTAACTGTTTTCTGTATCTGAAATCAGCAGATCACCAATTTTTCGTTTTGGAATCTAGGTGTAAATACAAAGAGGAGACAAACTGGCAATTTTCTAAAGGTTAGGTTATTTATGACTTGGCCCATATGGTTACTTTTTAATCTTCAATTGTTGATGTGCCCTACTAGTGTAGCCTCAGTAACTATGGAGAGAGCATTCCAAGCCTTAACAACTCTTAGGGGAGGAAATTTGTATCTATCATACTAATTTCAAGTGCTAATTTCAGGGTGTTCCCCTGCGATTATTGTTTGACGTTATCTTAAGTAAAAGGAGAGGGGGCCACATTAATAGTCCAAAACATCACTTCATTATTAGGTCACCTCTCAGTCGCCTATATTCTATGCGTCCCTCTTTTCGCTTGAACCCTGGTTCACAAATAGATTTATTGCAGTACCCTTAGATGTGTTCGAAGTGGTTTTTATCTTTTTAAAGTGAAAGATGAAGGACTTAAGTTCTAGGTAAGACCTATGAAACTGTTAATGCTTCGGTGGAGATAACTATGATCAAGCTCACCAGGGATTCACCACAAAGCCACCAGTGCCGAACTTGCCCGAATGCGATTCTGGCCTAAGATTTAGGGACGTTGAAGAACGAAAGAACAAGATTCTTCTTTGTCAGAGACGCCTTCAGCTCTATGCCGTCTAGTATGAATGCAAAACATCCTCCACACTGCCTGTGTATCACCTTACATCTTTCAGAGTTGTAGGTTGGTTCATCGTGATATGTCCACTGTTGAAGTCAGGTCATATCGCCATGCAAGGTGAGCCTGCCGCTCATAATTCTCATTTCTTTCCATTTCTGTACACCATTGGTAAAAAGGAGAAGCTTCACATGACGTCTGCAAAGGAAGGTAATTTGAGTAAATTAGTAATGGGATAGGTTTTAAAACAGAATCCTGAAGGACTCCACTGGCACCCCTTGTTTCTCTGAAAGAGGCGGAATTCAACTGGACCTTAAAGAGGTTCCCACTTGATCACTACGATACCTAGTTGACTAACAGTGAATTGACTTTGATGAACCTTAAATAAAACCAAATTCGTACTCCGTACAACACTCAGAGCACATCTATCCACATTCAGCGAAGGGCATTTCTTAAAGCCAGCCCAACCCCCAGCCTGTATGCGAAAGCCACCAACAGGAAACGACAGAAAATGAAAAGAAAATCTCTTGGCCATGGTGACGACTGTCATACATGCGGCTTCACCGTAGCAAAAAAGTGCACAGTTTTTGAGTGCATCGTTTTTGAGGAGCGGGCATTCTTTCCATATGGTGAAGACATACCAGATGAATATTACATCTTCATAGTGCGCCACCTATGCACGCTATTCAGTACATCTGCCCACGACGGTAAACGAGGGCGATTCTAGCTGCAGTGTCTTTTAGGGCCACCTTGGAAGACAATCCTGTGGCTGCTCGGTTGTCGGCACCCACACAAACTACTACTACTACTACTACGAATGAGAGTCCTAGAAACATGTGGGTCAGTGACGTCCAACGGAGTCACACCTGTAAGTAGCCCGGAAGCAGTCTGGCGACTGCCACATGTAAGGCAAACCATATCAACTGTCGACCCAAAAGCTGCTCTAACCGCTACCCCTGCCGAGCACCGCGTAAAATGGGTTGGAGTGGAAGAAAAGGTTCTCACTTTCAATTAAAACCCACCCATGGCACACGATTATAAATATGTCGATTCCGGGTCGAATTCCGTCATCCTGAACTTCCTTGCATGTCGCCACTGTAGTATCCAGAAAGTGGAATCATTTGACGGTCACCAGTAGGAAACGACAAGTCGCATTCCAGGATTAGGCAATGCAAATGTGACACCATGCCAGCCCTACTAAGGCGGCCATTTACCTCCGGGAAAGCCTCCGTCGATCAAGGTGACCCTGGCTCGGTTCAAGAGGCTGAAAGATTCCCTTTTTTGTCGCAGGCGCCAATCGTCAGCCAGCAATCTGGTATTAGAGAAATACGGGATCGACCATGATCGCCAAGAGAAACATCCCAACCATAGTTATCCACGGTATACCGGAACAAGCAGCCGGAAATCTGTCCTATCCCAGAGTTGACAGCTTATGATGCGACTGATCGACACTGATAATGACGGTCGATGGTCGCGTTGCACATGAGCACTTGCAGATATGGTAGTTGATGAAGTTTGTAAACATTGATCAGTTAGAAAGTTCGCAGCTCAAGCCTCAGTACTAGTTAGTCCACTGAAACCCACTGAGTGGGAAACTCCTGTCCTTTGGGATTGAGAGTGAGTCATGGTGTCTTACAGCGCACATGATTCTCTCATGTTCGGGCATCCAGTGGCTATCTATATCCTGCCAGTCAAGCTTTGTCCGCCCTTCCATTTGTTCCACGGCCCTCGAAATGTCCATAACTTCACCTGAAGCTCCGGTAACTTTGGTTTATATGAGGAGTCAGCTCTGAGTTACAGACATACTGAAACCTGATAACTAAATGACCATTCTTGCCCGATGAACAGGGATATTGTGAGGTCATCTACTAAAGTTTTTTGCTTGTGAGAATGCCCTCCAGGAGAGAGGAAACCTAATTATTCCTTCATTAAGTTGCCCACCTCATGTTTTCGGTTGGCGTGAATCCTTGAGCAAGATCAAGGAAGCGAACTCCGGTGAAATGAACACTGTCGTCATAAATATGGTCGATGAAATTGACTCTGGGAGGTCATAAGTCTGAGGAATTAAAGATAGTTAGCGATGAAGCTTGAGAAGGCGGTTAATGGCTTTTAGCATACGATTATAGTAATGATAATCCGTAGTCGGCTTCTTATATATCACCCATATCAAGTACCTTGGGGTCTTGGGAACTCTTCATAGGACATCAACCGACTCGTCTAGGCTTTCGAGCCTGACGGTGGTGAGCTGCGACAGAAGTCACGTGGACAGCTACTTGCGTCATTTCTCATCATCCCAGTCCAGCTCAGTATAACAGTGTTTGAAACAGAAAGTCGCCGATACGAAACGTGAGTAGAGACTCATGCCCCGGTAACGCCAGTAAGATAAGCATCAAACGCATTGCTTAATTAACGTCGGTCGTTGATTTTGTTAAGTGGGTTTAGTGCATTTGCGTAGATGCGGCTAATGATCTTTGCTTTGAACAAAGCTAGCGGTGCTTTGGTAGTACCCATATGTTGCGATAAAAATCGAAACTATGGGGTTGGAGCCAGCTTAAGTTTAACATGCTGGTGGGCAGACTTAACTATATTCCCGTTCCTTAATGGTAGGCGATCCACCCAACGAAACAGCTGGTTCCCGCTCGTTTTGGTTCCCCTGAGGCCGTCTACTTTGCAGCCAGTCAGGATACAAGATAGCTCTGGGTGGCAAACCGTATCTGCCAGACTGAAAAGCTCGAAGTGCGGCTATCGTAATGATGCAGACTGGAGCACTAACTTACTTAGTCTAGGTCTAGGATCCCCATCATTTTCGACCATGCTGCATTTTTTGTGCAGACACATCTTTAAGGTTCCTACAGGCCTTTGAGAATTTGTGCTCGTGGCGGTCGTGGTGAGATTCTACCGACTGCGTGCATTCCAGGCCTCCCTGGATTATTGGGTGCCTACTACAAAAGTAGGTTGCTTGAACAAAAATATTTAACAACCAATAGATAATAAGATTGTATTTATTCCGAAAACTAATCACCGTTAGTAGACATCCGCGTAGGTTAGGGATGAAAAATCAATCGGCAAGGGAATCAAAAAAGAAAGAAAATGAGGTGGGCATGAGCTGGAGATGCAAGCAGTCTAGTAAGTCAGCTAGTAGGAACGGCAAGCAGCCTGAACGAAGAACGTCCAAATATCTAGATCACAACACTAAGTAGAGTAAGTTTTTGAGTGCCCTACACACTAGTGGAATTCTCTGCTCACACTCGTGTGGTTCTGAAACCCACTGGGCATTACAAAGATGGCACTACTTTCTGCGAACTTTCGTTTCCCGGCTTGGCTAACTATGTTTACTTGGGGGCAGAGTGTGCATAATCGTGGAATAAGCCATCTTGTTAAGAAGTGAGTTTTAGAGGTCGGAAGATACATACGAAAAATACCAAAATAAATATGGAATCTAACTAGTAACCGGTGGGAACGAAACAGTCCTTATAATAAGGACTAACTTCGGGATTACTTGGGATCTTAAATAGGGGGCTGATTTAGCCAGTACGGAATTCGCAAGCCACAGCATACCGCAGAAAACCGAGCATTAACAGAAACTCAGAGCCACGGTCAACCCGCCGGTTCCCTGCTCTCTTTGGATGTCACTGATGACATCCCAGAACTCCTAAATTTGTGGGTGGAGACTGAGCAAATAAGATTGTCAAGTAATAGGGCTGACTTGTGGGAAAGAATAGGGTAGCACAGGTTTCTCCTCACCCTACACGGGTGGCTTCGTCGTTTGCCGCTTCTAGAAAGTAAAACCAGGATTGTCTCCCATATTTGCTGCACTTTTATGAGTGATGCAGAATGTCTTGCATACTTAGCATTGGATCAACGGGATACAAACCTAAACCAAGACGGCGCAAAATTTGCCAGACGAACGCCTAGGGCTAGCCTGGGGAAAAGTTGTGAAACTTTTTGAACGGTTACAAAACAGGCTATGTTAGTACGGAAAACTGAGAGACCCTTTATTCAGTTAGCATTGTACCTTTTTGACACCAAAATCAAATGAAAGATAGTTTTTTTCACACCGTTTGTGACAGCTTTATTTGTTGTGACAGGAAATGCTACCAGTTTAAGGATAGTAGGATTGCAAAGGGGTTGCATTATATTCAAAACACCTTGAGGTTTTTGGCCATTCAGGCTTCTAATATGGTTATGTTTGTGTTAACACCCATTTTTAACATCAAGTTACATTGATGGGCTTTGCCATCCATGGAATCCTTT